GTGTCATCCCTACCAAAATGGTACAAAATAGATACGATAATTTTTCCCGTGTTATGTATAAACCGACATATTTCCTAAATTTTGAGTACCAAATATTCAATTACAAGAAATCATCAGAAAATTTTATTAAAGAAATCTATAGCAACAAAGCTAAGAATCCTGTGATTAGCAGTGCCACCAATTTCTTATTGTATGACATACAAGTCCATTTTTCGGGACTCATTGCACACCAAACAAGGGCAACTAAGAAATAGTAGACATTGTCACACGAATTCACACTCCTCGCATTTGAACCCACAACCTAGGAGATAGATGGCTGAACTCATATGTAATTAATCCGCCTTCTGTTTTGGCTACACAAAACGACTCAGGGGCAATTGAGAAAGCATGATATAGGAACCAAGTTAGATAGAAAGAAAACTTTCAGATCAAAAAGAGAAGTTTAATTATGTACCTCCCAAGGAAGTACTTATATTGTAGGATGGCATTCGGGGTTCTCCGGTTGGACAAGTCAGTTGATCTCAAAAAGTTGTGTCGTATCATATCGCGCTTCCTCTCCACATTGCATTTCATATCCTGCCATACTTCCCCGGCAAAAGATTGTTCCTCAGTAACAGAACCAGGAAAGTGTGTATCATCTCCTAGATTTATCTTTGCTGGGGATATTGGAAGTTCAGCCATATTATTCCTCATATCCAGGGGTATAGGATAACCATTATGAAGCATCCATCTAACAGGAAGTTCCCTATAACTCACACTCGAGCTTGAACTTGTTTTAATCATCCCCTCCAAAATGTCAATAAAGTAATCTGGAGGATTAACACGATCTGGGACATTGATGCCAAGACCTGTGAAATATTCTTCAACTTTTCTCACTGGCCCATGATAGACAGTAAGGCCTCCTTTTGCTAGAAGTACCAAATCATCAAACATCTGGAACAATGTGTAGCTGCAAAGAGAGTGAACAGTAAGTTAAGCTCAGAAAGTATCGACACAAAAGGCTTGTCGTCTAGGAAAATAGAAGCAGCTTGCAGTTGTATTGGCTATTTCTTTTTGCAGAACAAATTGATAGGTCCATGTGCTAAGATTTGAAAGGTACCTTTGTCAAGTAGGTAAAAATTTAACTTCAAAAGTGAACAAGGTCATGGTATTCCAATTAAGCTCTGTAAGAATATTTTCTGTTTGTTATTAGGGAAAATTGCATAATTGTTGGTCCCCAACCTTCCTATATAGTTTCACAACGAGTCCCAAACAACAGTAATCATCCAAATATCTAATAAATCATCAAGTCACATAACCGATTTTATGAAGGATAAAGCTTTCAGATTTTTTCCATGGCAGTTTTGCGTTCCTACAGTTGGTCATATCAAGACCACGTGACGATTTAAAGGGATTTCCGGTTGGATTAAACAACTTGTACACACAAAGTGTACACCTTGATTGACATCTCCTATGTGTCAAAATCTGACAGTTGATTAGAAAATGTGTTATCAAGATCAATATACAAAAATCTACCAACTCACGTGGGTGTAAACCAATGTGTTAACCTTTATGTACATGTAGCATTGTCATTTCCGGTTTCAGTCATTGAGGACTGGTTGTAAAACTATATGTATAGGTTGGATACTAACTTCCTCTTTATAGGCTGTTGGACCAACTTGCAACTTGGATAACAGGTTGTGAATCAATGATGAAATTTCTCCCTTGTTATTATTACCTTGGTTGGTGGACAACCATACAGATATTTACCCCCTCGAGTGCTTCTCGTCGAAGTGCTCTGAGAAGTAGCTGTGAAGATGAGCTGTCCAACCCAGATGTAGGTTCGTCTAAGAACAGTACTGATGGTTCCATTACCAACTCCACGCCAACATTTACACGTTTCCTTTGACCTCCAGAGATTCCTCGTTTCTCCACTGTTCCAACTAAGGAACCGCGCACTGCTTGTAACCCCAAGGAATCTATGATTCGTTCAACAATAAGAACCTTGTCTGCCTTTTGTAAATCTGCAGATAGTCTTCAATTTTGAAAAGGTAAATAGTTAAAACAAAATTCTATAATGAATGATTTCATCCTCCGTAAAAAATGTAAAAGTAGCGCACAGATCAAGGATAGGAACATGATGACAACGTGTAATAGATGAAGTGAAGAATATGATCTAACCACTATATATGTGTGTGATGATGGAATAATATTCAATTGACCTTGTTAGCCTTGTCAATGGGAACAATGACACAACATCCATTACACAATTTGCTTTATTATCTGTATTGAAAAAATCAATCATCACTAAAGTCCCAATTATATATAACTCCAGGACAAGTTTTCCTCCCAAAATTGTGCAATATATAAATTTTATTATTATCATGGGCCATAGTTTTGCTATTTAAACTAAAAAAAGAATTCTCCATTTATTTGAAAATATTATTCACAATGGACTATCTTTCTTAACAATATGCTGAAGTTTTGTTACAACCATGTCTTCTCCAAAATCTTTTTTGGCTCGAGAGAACAGGTCAAAAAACTTTCCAGCCTACTAGTCATAACCAGTCTGAAAGGTTCAATAGATGCAAGAGTAACTGCCAGGCCCCCAAAGTGTGACCTGAACTTTGTTCAGAATCACAATCCGAAAAGTACCAACAGTTGCATCTGCTCATTATTTATTAGTCAAGTTTCAACCTGACATCAAGTCCACGCGTAACAAGTCCGGGGTCCCATAAAATCAGTCAGAAACTTTCGAAATCTAGGTTAACAGCATCACCTAGTGCACTTCATGCAAAACCTCTATAAGCTTATCAAACTTCCCTTTTGAAGATTGGATATCTTGAGTATACGGTCACAGGATACTTCCTCGGATTGAAGTGTATCAGAATACTTCTGCAAATGAAGACTGACTATGCATATGTCTAATGAAATGAGATTATAGATACTCTCAGTTTCATCCATTGAATAGTAGGTATCTACTTGAAAAGTCTGTTTCAAATTATCAAGAAGGGTCTGAATTGCCCTGAATAACAGTGACCAAGAATTAGCAATGGAAGTAAAATGCAACCATAGAACACTCAGAATCTCACATAATCAAAGAAAGATACCACCCCGAAGATTATCAGTGACCAATTTAACTGACTCTGAAAACTGTGTCAAAGGTTCGGCAAGCAGGAAGATTGTTAAGAAGATCGCCAAAATACGCAACAAATACCATGATAAAGAAAAACAAGTAAAAAAGGAAAACCGTGAATTATGTGGTTTGGAAAACTCGCCCATGTCCTAATGAGAAATTACAAATCTCTCTCTCTCTCTCCCCCTCCCTCCCTCCCTCTCTCTCTCTCTCTCTCTCTCTCTCGACATTTTTCTTTCTCCTTGACTGTGTCTGCTACTCTCTTCTATGGTGTGTTCACTTCTCTTCATAATATGCTAATAAGAGAAGGACTCAATACATTGTGTTAATTTTCCTTCCTTTGCTCCAACCCACTGCAGATACACGAATTGATGACTTCCGAAGATGGGCTTGACAAAAACCTAGCATTAGTCCAAGTTCTTTTCTTCTTTTAATTTTATCAAGATAAATTAACAAAATAGTAAATGAGTAAAAACAACAAAGAAATCATATTGCAATTGATCAGACATAAAGCTAGGTAAAGATGCCTGGCATTGATGTTGTGCTACAAGTCACAAGCACGAATAATGTAGGGTGGGTGCACAAAAACTGCAACTAGAACCCATGTAGAAATAAACACCACATACCTGCACCTTGCACTAAACCATAAATTCTCCTCCACGGTTAAATTTCCATGCACAATATCATCTTGCGGGACAAAACCAACAATTCTTCTGTACGAGTGGATAGATACTGACTTCCCATTCACAAGAATCGTGCCAGTCACCATGCATCCAACCGTTTTCCCAGCCAAAGCAGAAAGAAAAGTTGTTTTTCCAGCTCCTGATGGGCCCATCACAGCAGTAATACGGCCAGGACGTATCTTCCCAGTTACGGACCTCAAAAGATTTTTATTTTTGCCTTTTAAAGAAACAGTTAGGTCTCTAAAAGCAATCTCAATTAGCGGCCTTTTCCTGGTGTCGTCGTTCATAGCCATTGAAATTACTCCCGAGAAGGTAAGGTTCTTGTTCTGCTGCTGCTGAGCTTTCTCTTTCTCGAGTTGTGAGTATGCATACTTGAAAATCTGACTATGAGTATGAATTTGTTCTTCTTTTGGGATTTTCTTTTTAATATTGTTATTTCGAGACTCTGAATCAAAAACCTCAAAACTACTAGAGGCATCTTCCATTTCATGTATCATGTGCGTATGATGCGCATGCTCTGTTTTATTTCCTCCCGGTGCAGTAAATGGAGCACCGGCTGACATAGATGCATGGAAGTCATCTGTTTCAGTTTCTGTTTGATTCAAAATCTTAACTTGTTCAGGATTTGCAGGAGTCTTCTTAGAAAATTTGCCAGAAAACTGTGCCTGTAACTCAACAACATGCTTCTTAGCAGCATCTTTTGCAGCTTTCCACCTTGCACGTGCTTGTGTCTTCTCCCTTACTGTTCTTGCAGCGGCTTCCCTATATTTGGCATATCTTCTTTCCCGAGTGGTAATAATTTGATCAGAGCAGTTATAAATAATGAGCAAAAGAGTACTTAATGCTGCCTGCAATAACAATTGGCAAATGGTTGATATTGAATATGAACCTGAAATGATCAATAGAAACCTCAAACCAGTGTGGAAAAACACACAAAAAGACAGCAAAAAGGAACAGAATCCAAAACAGGAAGAGAGGGAGAAGGGAGGGGGAGAGAGAGAGAGAGAAGAGACAAATATCAAAACCAAAAGAAATGCTGCCAAGTGATTGTATCTTTAATAATACGAGTTCAACTTACGATAAGCAGAACTCCATATGCGTGAATATTTTGACTTGCAGTGTTGGAATTGCATGTAGTCAACTTGAAGCATCCTGCAAATTTAGCATTTGAAATACACAGCTTAGTGTAGAGTTAAATCCATGATTTATGCAGTATCCAGTTGTCAGTCATAAAAACTGAGATATATTTTTCACGTTCAGGAATGGCAAGTTATTGTGAGGAAAAAAAAAAACTATATGAAAACATGGCACGCTTTAACTCACAGTTCTAGGGAACTTACGTTTCTCATCTGTAGAACCCATGGGACAGTAATTCCTGAAAATTTTGGAAGGAAGCATGATTACTAAAAACAGAAAGCATCATCAAACGTCTAAAAATGTAGTGATCAGATAGAAACTTATGACTGGAAGATATTGAAATAACAAGGTTCGATCCACCTAACTCCTAGAAGGGGTGAATAGGTGTGAAATGCGGAATTAAAACAATCAACTAATAAAAAGTAACAAGTCATTTATTTATTATTTTTAGATGATTAAATTTACTGTCAAATTAAACCTTATGTGTCAATCATGCAATATAGATCAAAAGCATAAAAGTAAATAATACCAAATTTGGTAACGAAAGAAAACTCCTTGAAGAACTCTTTACATGGATAAAAAAACCTCCGGACAAACCTTGCCAACGATCCAATGGAAAATATAACTTACAGTTGTTCAGACACAACAAAATCTTAGTAGACTCAAACCATCCAACCTGTAAATCAACGAAAAACCTCTTCGATTGTGCGATCTGCACTTTACAGCAACTCTGAACTTTTTTTCCCTTTGCGGGATCAGTAAGAACGAACTCATTCTGGAACAATTGAATTTTCACTGTCTCTTCCCAACTGTGCAGAACTCTAAAAGCTTATTGGTGAAGATAATGGTTTTTGGTATTTGATCTTTGGATCTTTTGTATTTTGATCTTGTGGTTGAATCAAGAGAATTATAAAATATGTTCATAATCTTCAAATGATGTTCTCTTGTATGAAATAATGATCAACAAACAATGCAAAAGATATTTAGGAACAAGACAAGGAAAAAAAAAGATTTTTGGGAATATTGATGCTTGGATCTTGTGGTTGAATCAAGAGATCTTTGAATTGTGTTATTGGTCTTCAATAACGTGTTATCTTAAATGAATAATTGTTCAACCACACATAGAAACGAAATCTGGCTTGAGAATATATAATAGGGAGTGCTTGAGGTTGAATAGAACTCCAAAATCTATTGAAAATCGCGAACAAGATTCTGCCGGATGGCATCACTGCTCGAGTGCCACTCTCACGGATAGTGAGTGGTCAGTCGACCACCCGTATCGTGGCCAGCGAGAGGTGCATGTACTGAAATTTCCGCTCAAGCTCTCCATGCGTGGTTGGCGAGAGACATTGCGGCGATTTCATCTCCCTGGTCGATCTTTGACTCTTTTGAAACCTATACTACCAACTCCCGACTCTTTGACTTTAATTACAACTCAATAACTATGATTTTGGAGACGGAACTAGCCTATTAGAATTTGGACCTAACAGATATTAATGTTCAAAATATCACAGGTCACAAGTTTCAAAGTGATAGACAGCTAAAATAAGTTTTAGGACATAAATCAATACCCACTGCTGCAAGGAATTCTATGTGTAGTTGCTGGACAATAGGATCCCGCAGAACAGAATACATCACTGCTAGTGCCGATATCTGTCCAAATATCTGCACCGCCACAAGTATGATTTGGATTCGCCACAGGTAGCTGGTAAGCATATCTGCATAGCTTAAGAATAATTTTGTCACACACATCGTGTACAGGAAAGCATAACAAGAAAAGGAGCATAAGTACAGGAATCTCAACGTACGGTTCACATGTGCCTGTAGAGTTATTGAGGGTCGAACGGGGGCAATAGGAACCTAATGGACAAGCTTCAAAATTCAAAGAAACTGTCATCGAATGTCTTTTGCAATTGAAATCACAAGAATAGTGATAATTAGATGCTCTATGCACATTATAAGATACAAAAAAAATTCGGTCGACAATGATATGCACCATTGGAAAACCAAACATTTAAAGGTGATATAACAATAGCTCACTAAATGGTTAGCAGTAAAAATCAAAACACAGTGATAGACACCATCTCCCTGTCCAAAGCAAGGGGATCTTTGTTAAATCATAAAATAATAGATTAAGGGCCATTAAGTAAATGATCTACGACTATTCAGCCCAAGGATGTGTTTGCTTAACAGTTGATAAAGGAAAATAAAATAATTAGGCTCTATGGTTGTAGTAGGTGTCTAGTGCATAGGGAATTCTATGATCTTTTGAAATATTTGCCTAGGTTACATGCCTACAAAGTAAATTTATTTTGAAATTGTCAGGATGAATAATGGGATAACTAGATACACTTGTGCAGGAAATGTCTACATCTTGTTGGCTAGATTGAAATTTCGAGAACAAAGCCAAAATTGATCTGCACCATGCCTTTCATTTAAGCAAGAAAAACGAAAACTAAACATTTTAAGTATCAAATAGACCTCATTCGGAAAACAGAAAGTACAAAAGTCAACATATGAAATAATTAAATAAGATAAAAATTAAAAGATTCTCAAATACTTACGTATCATGCAAGTAATACCACGCGGGCAGAAGAATCCCTCACAACACGATTGGCAATCAGATCCTCTTCCAGGTATTTCCTGAGAACTTTTTAGGTCAACTGGCTCTTCAGAGTCAGTACTACATGCCCATCCTGGCTCACAGCCGGATAGCCAAGAACTTAAATTGCAATTCTTGTTAGGCTTAAGGTGACGCCTGTCACTCATCAAGTTACTGAAGTAAAATTTTATTTCTGCAGCTGTACAAAATCGTCTTGTAATATCTGTGGTTCAACAAGATAGAACTTTGTGAGACGGAGATGATTGAAATAACATCCGAAAGAGACTAACAAACATGCACTCATACTCGCATAAAAGATAACATTTCCAATATTAATTTTGCAGAGAGAGAGATTGTTTTGAGATTATGGCTACACTATCTTAGTTGAATTGTCCCCACACACATATATGAATGGTGCGTGTTCGTTGTCGCAAAACCTTATACTGAGTGTATGAAGTTTTATTCAACATATCCAATAATAATGGAAATATTATAAGTTTATATGTAACAACCTAGAAGGTTCATTTTTAATTCAACTAGTTTCTTGTCTAGCTTCAGATCATATAAGAGTAGGTTTGTACCACCAAAAAATTACACTATCCGTCGCTGCATATCCAATACAAAACGTTAGAAAGATTAGTATGTTTGGAACCATGGGAGTTCGTGAAATTTGAAAGTTAATTCCTGTTATTATGACTTCACTTGGTTTGGAGTTAGGAATTAATATAGAAATCCCTTTTGTTGGGATTTTACACGACAATTTGGGCCATTTTGAAATCCTACCAAAAATGGCCTCATCCAAGGAAACGTGAATTGATCATGATCTTTCTGCCATGTTCGTATGTTAATTACAACGCACAGGATATAATTAAAGAAGATAAAAAGAGTTAAAATATTGTCTATTACAGTGTAAAGATGTATCCTATACTATCTACCAAAGATCATGCATTGTTTATTCTTATTTTTTACCAAAAACTTAAGGACAAAGTTGCAAATAATTAATCCCCTTCCTTTAAAAATCCATTTGTTCATTAGACTCTATTTCAATTAAACTATAGTCCAATAAAAAAAATCCCTTCTCCAAAATTTCAAAGAAAAAATTTAATAAAATATTTTGAGAAAACGCTTTAAGCATTAGTAAACATATTTCCCAAACAACAAAATGAACATAATTTACTTCATTGTTCGACTAGATGGACTTGAAAATCATTTCCAAACATGAAGCTAATAGAAAAACAAAATATAATACTATAGAATATAAATGCTATGAACTAACATTCTCTTTTTCCCCCTAATTTTGAAAAAAAAAAAAAGAGCAAAAAAATTCAATTACCTCTATTTTTGGCCAAGCAAGCAGACAAGAAATCCAGATTGGTAGAATAATTAAATGCTGTATTCCATTCAGCTTCCCTGCAACCAAAAAGAATTGTATTTTTTCACTTCTTTTTTTTTCTGCATTTTCTGAAGATTTAATAATCAACTAAAAGGGGGAAATTAACTTACGGGTCTGCAATGCAAAAGCTGGAATCTTGGACGATTTCACTGGTGAGAATAACAGAGGTAAGATTGGAGAGTCTGTCGTACACTGCTCTAGTGATGTAGTCATTATATGTGGGATTTTGCAGTTGGGGTGGAGTAAAATCATTAGCTTGGCATTGCACAAACCGGACGGAACCAAACTGTGGAAAGCTCAATGGGAGGATAACGATAATGAAAATGAACAATGTGAATGTGCTCGAGTACAACTTTCTCCTGCTCATTTTACAAGAACTAGGAAATCTTGGAAAAGGGTCAATCCCCAGTGGGAATGATTTTGTTCTTCTTCTGTATATGTGTAGGGTGGGTGGATCGGGATAGGGATAGGACAGTGATGGAGAAGAAGCGTCATTAATCTATAAGGTCAAATAATAATGTCGTGTTGTGGACAGTTCGTGCAAGGGAAAGACCCACTTGTAACTTGTAAGTTGTATGCCTGCACTTGGTTTATACTCTTGTGCACAAGTGTCATTCATCAAAATTCTCTATTAATAAAAGGCTTTGTATCTATTTTTATTTATATAAAGACCATTCTTTGTATAATAGTTTTTTATATATATATTTTTAATTTGATTCTTTATTTTAAAAAAAATTAATACTTTATATATTTAAAACCATATCGTACCTTCTCATTTATAAATTTAATGTGTGTTTAATTGATATTATTGAGGAAATAAGTTATTTTAAATAGTGATACAATGGAAAATATGTGGTTAAAAGTAAGGAAAAATTATTGATGTGATAAAAAATATTATTTTAATAAAAATTGTGTGATTGAAAATTGTATACCAAATAGGGACTTAGTAGTACATTTTAGGATGTCATATAAGTAAACAGTTCACTAATTTTTGTGAATCAAAATAAACAAATTGTGAGTCTGACGTAATAATTATAGCTCTTATTTTATCTATTTTAATTTATTTATTTATTTTTGAAAAAGGAAGCTTTAAACATGATAGAGCGAGCATTTAAGTTATTAAGCACGCGATTTTTTGTTGAAAAAATGTCAACTACAAATCGAACAAATTCTTGAATTTATTGGTGAGATTACAAGCAAATCTATTTATTCTTAAAAATAAAAAAAGGATTTCTATATTTTATTGATAATTTGATACAATTCTAATTTATTTATAATTAGTGCAAGAAGTTGTTGGGGGAGTCAACGAATAGTGGGAGGCCGCTTCTTGCCTGGCGTGGATAGCGGGGTGTTTCTCTTTGTTGTCTTGCCCACTTCTCCTTTGTTAATTGGTTTCCACCTTTGACTACGGTAGCACGCTATCATTAATTTCAACATCGAAGTTTATTAAACTTTCGTGACATTAACACCGAAGACTTTAGCTAATTATTGCAATTGAAGAAACACACAACTTTGCATAATGAAGGATTGTTTGACATGATTTTTGAGAAGATAAAATGAGATTTTGAGATTCAACGA